TATGGGGACTACAGACAAGGAAGAATTGAATGAAAAAATAAAGCTTTGAATGGTGGCCAGTTGGGAATTATGTTCCAACAGAGCTTCTGGGAGCCAACTGCCACCATGGGAAAATTCACCAACGCGTATGAGAATTACTGCCCCATTTGCTAACAAACTCCAGCTCAACAGGGGCCCATCGACCTCTCCTCTTGATCCTCAAATGCGTCTCATTCCTCCCTTCTTTTCTCCACAATTCATACCCAAACGAGAAAGTAACATTTTTGTAAAACCTCTCAAAGTCAGACAATGACCCCTATCCCCCTCAAACTGGGCCACTCTGGATCCTTCCAAACTACTGTGCCGCTTAAGTACAGACTGTCCCTTTACGGAGAAGCGTGCTCAAGATTCTAACGTACAGAAATGTCCATCCAATGTACTCCGTTGTAATTTGATTGGCAAAATATTATTAATACAGGCTATCTAAAAGCACTGACCGTAAGTAGCCTCTTTATATAGAAGCTGGCGCTAATCGTAATAGTAAGAATCATGGGGGGGAAATTAAATCCTCAACAACGAGGGGATATACTGAAGATTAGGGCAAAAGAGTTCTGGAAAAAGTCCAAGTATTTAGGCATTAGTAGGAAAGGAGACGTCTATAGCAATGACCCCTGCTGTTATTAAGCCCACTGCAATAAAAAAAAACCAAAAATTGAAAAAAGAAAAAAAAAATTGAGAACTAATTTTTTAGTAGTTACTACACGCAAAATACAGCAATAGTAATATGTTGCATATTATAAAACAGAGATAGAAATTTTAAAATGATTCAGCAATAAGCATAAATAGAAGCTTTAAATTTTTTTTGTAGCTCATATTGCATTTTTCTTTGGGGAGATACAGCCCGCAGAGTGTATGTTTGTAAATAAAGTTTTATTGGAACACAGTCACACTCGTTCAATTGCACGTTGTCTAGAGTTGCTTTTGAGCTGCCACGGTGGCTGCCTGCCCCATAAAGCCTAAAATATTTACCATCTGGCCCTTGACAGGAAAAGTTTTCCGCCTTCGGATCTCAGTAATGACAAAAGTGCTTCTAGCCCTTTACCAAGTAGGAAAAGTAAACAATCATGAATGCAGTGTTTACTGACAAAATGAAAATTCTCCAGCTAAGGAATTAGGAAAAAATCTGTTTGTAGGGAAATTCTCAGTTTCGACAAGGTTCCTCAACGGTGGACAGCATTCCATATATTTCTATGTATGTGAAGTAACTGTATTTAGTAGCTTCCCTAGATATGGTTTCCCTCTGTGGCCAGATTAATCATCAAATTGAGCACAGCGGATACGCTGGAAAACAGCACCGACATTACGCATAGCCTATTAACGGTGTAAAAACTGTTGAAGGTGTGACAAAGGAAGCCGGAGAAACACCTCAAGCCGCCATACACGGTGTCTTCACTCCAAGTATGGTCCATGGACCCCTGTGGAACCCCGGGACTCCCTCGAGGGCCTCACAAGTTCAAAACTACTCTCATAATAACACTAAAACAAACTGTCCTTTACGCCATGTAGACCGTCTGCATGGATGCTAGAAAAATGACAGCAGGGAAAACCACCGGTGCCTTAGCAGGAATCAACACGGCCATGCCAGGCCTGGACGCCGGTCACTATGTTCGTTACCGCCACACATGTGGTTTCTTCCAACAAATGCCCATGTCACTTAAGAACGCCCTTGGGGCGCCCAGGTGGTGCAGTCAGCTGCCCGACTCTTGATCTGGGCTCAGGTCACCATCTCACGGGTTCATGAGTTCAAGCCCCTGATGGCACGGAGCCTGCCTGGATTCTGTCTCTCTCCCTTTCTGCCCCTCCCCTGCACATGCTCTCTAGCTCTCTAAAAATAAATGAATAAACTTAAAAAAAGAAAAAGCTGGGGCGCCTGGGTGGCTCAGTCAGTTAAGCTTCCGATTCTTGCTTTTGGCTCAGGTCATGATCTCAGGGTTGGTGAGTTCAAGTCCCACACTGGGCTCTGCATGAACAGTGTGGAGCCTGCTTGGGATTCTCTCTCCCTCTCTCTCTCTCTCTCTCTGCCCCTCCCTCCCTCATGCTGTCTTTCTTTGTCAAAAAAAAAAAAAAAAGGAAAGACAGAAAGAAAGAAAGAAAGAAAGAAAGAAAGAAAGAAAGAAAGAAAGAGAAAGAAAAAGGAATGCCCTTGATGAAGTAGAAAGTACTTCTTTTATTAAATCTCAGCCCTTGAGTACCTGCCTGTGCGACAAAACAGAAACAGGCACAAAATGCTTCCTCTTTATACAAAGGGCTCATCTTCTCAATGCGAAGTATCTTTGTGATAGAGTTCTAAGCAGAACTCGCTCTCTCATGGAACACCATGCAAAAGATGACAAAGTACAGTCAATTCAGACTTGGGATTTAGCAGATGTTTTCTCTACAGCGTAAAAAGTTGTTAGCCTGTCACTTCGAGGAACTTTTTTCCAACAGTAAAGTTATAACTTTAAAAAAAAAAAAAAAACCACTTGAATCTGGGGAAACTTTTATCAGCCACTAGGAGACTGACAGTTTTGCCACGCTTAAAAAGACTTTTTTGAGAGGATCAGCGGTGTTAACAAATGTCCTCTTTTCTCCCTATTGTACAACAGCAAAATATCTGCACACTATGCATAACCCAGTGAACCAGTATTTTCTAAATGAACGATGCAGAATGCTTGCTACAAAACCATCTGGGGGTAAGATTAGTTCGAAGCACAAGATGGACCAAATGGATTTGCTTTTTAAGTTTATTTATTTTTGAGAGAGAGAGAGAGCGCGTGCGCACACACTCAAGCGGGGGAGGGGCAGGGAGAGAGAGGGAGAGAAGAGTCTCGACGTGGGGCTCAACCTCACAAACCGTGAGATCGTGACCTGAGCCGAAATCAAGAGCCAGGCGCTCAACCGACTGAGTCACCCAAGGGCCCCAGTGGGATTTAAAGTAAAATAAAAAAAGTTCGTTGAAAACGGTTTCCGACTCCACACAGCAACTGAACTTTGGGAAACCATCGCTTTACTAGTCATGGTGAAGTATGAAAGAGGAGTATTCACAGTCATGTGACAGGGCTATTAACAACGCTCCCTTTTCTTTTTTTTTTTTTTTTTATTTTTTTAACATTTATTTATTTTTGAGACAGAGAGAGACAGAGCATGAATAGGGGAGGGGCAGAGAGAGAGGGAGACACAGAATCGGAAGCAGGCTCCAGGCTCTGAGCCATCAGCCCAGAGCCCGAGCGGGGCTCGAACCCACGGACCGCGAGATCGTGACCTGAGCCGAAGTCGGACGCTCAACCGACTGAGCCACCCAGGCGCCCCAACGCTCCCTTTTCTAAGTATGCATCTGCTTAAGCCTGGATGTTCTAAATGTACTTCAGTCAAAGCCACACATCACGAGAGCGTGAACAGAAGCGGACACGGGAATCCAGCTGCCTTCTATGAAGTCAGAAGTTACAGAGATCAGCACACGGGTGAAGGGAAGCCACTCTTCCGGCGGACTTAGGTTTGTCTCGGAAAATGGTTATTGTTCACGAAAACGGTACCTACGTTAGCATGTAATGGGTTTATTAACATGTTTAAAGGCATTAGTAAGTGTTTAATTTTAGTTTCAGCTTCTAATACAGCGAGTCCCAAAAAAAAAATAACCCACGTAACGCAAAAGCTCAATCACTGTCAAGACCAGTAAAGGGTTCCGGGGGCCGCACACATTGAGCCCCAATGCTTCAGGGCGACCCAATCCTCTTACTCTACGTACAATTTCCTGCGTTTATTGAGAAAAAACCTGCAGACTAAGATTCTTCCTTGTTTCTCAGTTCACTTTTTCACGAGCTACGCAGGACACCCAGGGAAGCCGGAGCGGGAGTACGACGTCCCCTCATGTGCAGGAAGAGGGGGAACAGCTCCAGGCGGGAGAAAACCACCCTGGCTCCACAAGCAGGAAGCAAATCCACGCTTGAGAACCAGGGGCTTCGGGCACTTGGCTTCGGCCACGAGCACAGACCAGGCCTCGCCGCCCTCTGCAGCCCCCAGCGCCGCAGAGAGGGCTCCCGTCCATGTTCTCTGCTCCGTTCCATTGGCTAGGACTCTTCGGGGACCCCTGTACAGCTCTGGATTTTCCCGCCAGGTAGGTGGGAAAATAATTTGAAATGGCATTTTTCAGGCCATGACACCGCATTCCAGCTGTGCGCGTAGCGCGAAAGGTAGGGCCGGATGCCAGGATTCTCTCTCTCGATGCCAAACAGAGAGGACGGACTGACTGGGCTGAGGTTCACGGCGGTGGGACTAGCGTCTGCTGCTTAAAATAAGCAGCGGTTCCAGGGAGGAGGCTGGGATACCCAGCAAAGACGCAGGGGCACCGCCCAACGCTGTCTAACCCTGAACGAAGCTTCTTCCCTGGGGCCTGACCCCGCTAGCCTCAGCCCTGAACATACGAACGTCAAGATCTTAAAACCCGCAGGTTTCTCAAATAACGTGTAACGGGATTCACAGCCGTGTTATCGTGATCGCAAGGCAGATAACGGCAAACCCGTTCCCACCAACATGTGCGCATCTATACCCTAGCAGCGAATCCCCAACTCATAAAGAAATTGTAAACCAAACGTCATTTCTTAGGATTACAGCATAAAATTGCCTCCTAGAAAAAATGTTCTAAGGCAATTAGGCAAAATAATACTATACTACATGGTATTATATACACAGGGCAGATGATTAAATAGACTTTTGTAAGTCGGTATAAGAACTTCAGAATTATATTATTTCCACAGTTCCTAACTATGAACTCTGGATTTCAAGTACACACAGGCACCTCCATCCCAAATGAACACATTTGAGACTATTACTTGAAAGGCAAAATTCAGAGAGTCTCAGATTCTCCCGATTCCCCTTGTAACGGGATTTTCTGGAGATCGCCTGTGTCTATAAGCACCAGCCGAGAAGTATGGTTCCGGAAGCAAAATCAGTTGCAAATGGAAGGAAAGAAAGCAGTGGCTTACCTGTGGTCAAGATGGCTGAAGTCTTGCAAATTCAATTCCCTGGTGTCCTGTGTCAGGTAAATTGTATCCACATCCTGTTTAAATATAATTAAATCATGTAAATAGTCCGCACAGATGATCAGGAAAGAGGGATGCAGAGAGAGAATTAGACAATGATACAGATTTTCACATAATCTGAGGAAGGAAGATTTTAAGCCGAAAGCATGAATGGTGGGGGGAAAGGAAGAAAAAAAGAAACCAGCCAGTCAAATACTGGAATATTCTCCAGGAGGGGGGGGAGGGGGGGCACACACAAGCCTGCACACAAACACACTTACCCACTGTACTTCTTCTCTGTATGAAAATCCAAGCCAGTCACACACACAGGCGTACATCTGAGAAAATCCACCTGAAACACACAACAGAAACGTGACAGGTTTTTGGCTAAATGATTTTTAAGTTAAAGTTTAAAAGTTTAAATATGGCCGATGTTGACGATGCTGATTATTTCTTTCTGTTTGGGAAAACGGCAAAGATTCTCCCCCTTGTTCTATAGTAAGTACACAGCAGGATGCAATACAGCTTAAATACAGGACTTTTATCCACCAGTCTAAAGTCTGTGCAGTGGTAATTACACCTTAAAACTAATTGTACCTTTACAGAAGCATACTAGGAATAGACGTAACTTCCTGGCAGGGGGACATCCATGCGGCCATTTATAATTTGGTTTTAAAATGCATGCTCACCGCAGGGCCCCTGCTCGGCCACGGTCTGGCTGTCCCACAGAGCCTGGAGACTGGCCAGTCGTTCAGAGGGCTCCATGGAGACTTTTTTCATGATTCTCCTGCAAGATCAAAGTAACAATAAATTTCAAAAATCGAGTGTTTGGCACCGTGCGTAGAAATCTATTTTGTGGTACGCCTTTTTTTAGACCAAAGATGGCTGCCACTTTGATTTCGGTAAACGTAAATTCCACTTTCTGAGCATCAAGAAGCTGGAAACCTCAGAAACTTAATCTCCTTTCTTTAGCCCCCTTTTATACGCCCAAGGAGTTATCCAGGGATGTGGACAGTCTCTATGTTATTTCGTTGTTTCGTGGCAGTAGATTGCACTAGAATAATTAGAAGACAGCATGTTCTACTTGATGAATTATTAGCTTATGTGTATGCTAAATTTGAATCACGAACTTTCAAAAACTTAAAACACACATCTCTTCCTCTGTGCTTCCATAGTACCCCTTACAAACGTCCGTCAAGAAAGACTATGTCATGTCAGAAGAAGTGTTCCTTTTACTGTGGTTCAGAGCCCAGCCGACCACTTCCAAGTTTCACTATTCACAGATCTGGCGAAGTAAGAGGACCTACCCCGTGGGGTAATCGTGAGAAAGAAAGAAGTTAATACCTGTGAAGTTATCAAAACAATCCGCGCTGCCTGGTGAAGTCTCAATAAACATTAGCCGATGCTCTCAGAGTTATCACGTACTAATCGTTTCAATTTTTCTTTAACATTTATTCACTTTTGAGAGACAGAGACTGAGCGTGAGCGGGGGAGGGGCAGAGAGAGAGGGAGACACAGAATCCGAAGCCGACTCCAGGCTCTAAGCTGTCAGCACAGAGCCCGACGTGGGGCTCAAACCCACAAACTGCGAGATCATGACCTGAGCCGAAGTCGAATGCTTAACCGACTGAGCCACCCAGGCGCCCCTCAGGTAGTAATCATTTAATGGGTAATTTATGAATCCATTAACTCACCCCTGAACTTTTATTAAATGTCTACAGCATGGCAAGACCAGCTGTCAAGATACTAGATACACAACCAGGAACAAAACCGACACCATCCCTGCCCTCCAAATGGACAGCCTACCGTGAGAAGCAGACAAACAGGAGGTATAAAAGGAGAAGTAGAGGGTATAGTGGGGCGGGGGGTGCAGAAAAAGGGCACTTAACTTCTCCTCTGGTGGGGGGAGGGCAGCGGAGCGTGGGGAATGTGGACGGTGCTCTCCAGTCCCTACCACGTCTATGCTAAAACCTGAAGAGGAATAAAGACTTCATCGGGGCGGGGGGTGGGGGGAGGAGATGGGGAACCAGGAGCTGGGGAGACCGCTCCAGACGAAGGGACAGCAAGTTCACGGCCGTGAGAAGGCTCGTGCTCACCACCAGAAATGGCACACGGTTCAAAGCGGGCCAGCAAACACCGCGTGATGGGGAGGGGGTAACGGAAGAGTCTGGGGAGCTCGCAGGAACCAGGTCGCGGACAGCCTTCGAGGTCCGATTACGGGGTTTGGATTTTATTCGTAGGGCACTGAGGAGCCACGAAAAGCCTGAACAGGGTGCACCGGCTGGTGAGAAGGGCACCGTCCACAAAATCTGCAGGGCGGGGGTGGGGGCAAACTTTGGACCCAGATAAAGAACTTGAGAAATTAAATAGAAAAGCCCAGCGAGAGTGAAGGTCATGAGCTTCTGGAGGCAGCAGGTGGACCAGCCGCGAGACTTCCTCGGGCTCCCGCCCGCCACAGCCCAGACGTGTGCAGGAAGGGGCAGCGGGCACGCTGTGGGGCTGCTGGCTTTCCAAGCAGGTGGCCGGATGGACTTGAGGGTACTGCTGGGGTGACGGACACTGTGGGCTGGGCGCTCAGGAGTGGGAGGGGAAGATCCAAGGGATCTACGGCCCAGAGGCCCTGAAAAAGTCCGAGCGCTGGTCCTTCCGAGGGAGAGAGGGCCGAACGGCCGTGGTCACGGCGAGACGAGTGAATTGTGACTTGACCCCAGCACTCGCTGTTCCAGGAGCTGACGAGGTCTCGGGTGGGGCCCTCGAGAGTCCAGTGGGGAGGAGGGGAGGAGGTCACAGGCTGTGAGGAAGGGCATTGGGTTAGAAGCGCCGGGATCAAGGCAGGACCCGGGTGCGAGATGGTGTAAGTAAAGATGCTAAGTTAGACCGAACACATTTTAATCTTTCTTTAATGACTTAAAAGCACTTCTGCCCCATATAATGTTCTCAGTCATCGTGACGGGTCTCAATCACCTCGTAGGGTATGGGAGCAAAACAGCTGTCTCCGTTTTCTCACGGGATGGATTCCAGAGAAAATGTGCTGCCTCCTGGCAAGCTGCCCCGTCCACTCCTAGAGAAACCCTGCGGTACACAACAAGGCATTTCAACACCCTGAACGCTCTGCTTGCCCTGAAAACGTTCCTACACATCCTTGCGGTTTTTACGACTGAAGCATAATCAGGTAAAAGCAACAAGGCCAAACGTCATTAATTCCTTCAAATTCTCGTGTAAGTGCCCGGGGCCTGCGAGTGCAGCACGATTTTTCTCAATCTCACCTGAAAACACCCGTGATTAAATCCCATCATCTTAAAGCTCCTGAACCGGGGGGCAACTGTGGGCTTCACAAGACATTTCGCCAACGGACGCGATATTACAGAATCTTCCAGATCTTACAGAATGATTCATCTCGGTTCCATACCATCATCGGGCATTTTACTGGCATTGTTTTCTGGCGACCAGACAGCAAAACCAGGTATTACGCAAAGCACCAGCAGACCCGTCAGAAACAGCCCCCAGCGTTTACACGACTCGGTTAAGTGAACCTTGGACACATCAAACTAGACATAGGTCTGACTTCATCTGAGATCACATCTGTCTTCGAGAATTCTTGCTTCACCTCAGCAGGACTGTGGGGCATGCTGTTTCAATGACACACGGGACGAAGTTAAGCTAGTCAAAAGCAGGAAGAAAATCGGGCAAAAAAATCTTTGGCAGGAAGCTGGGAGGATCAAGAATAGGAAGGTGGCAGTCTAGGATTAGAGGGAGAAACAGACGACTTCTCATGGCAGATTCAGAAACTAAAGCCTCAATTTTATTCCAAAAACAACACTGGACATTCCTGCTCAGGGGGTAAGGGCAAGTCAACTGGAAAATGAGAAGCAGCGGCTAGGGTAGACGTCTGTGTGCAGAGGCTGCCCCTTGACCTTCAAAACCACTCTTTGACGGGATCAGTCTGAGGTTTTCTAAGCAGCCCCGCTCTGTGACACTTCTCTTTCTTTTGCAAGGAACTGCAAAGCACTTCGATTTCAGGAACCGAAGACGTCTCATGAAACAGGTGCAGTGACTTGCATAAGAGATAAAGTTCTAAGGAGTAAACTTCCAGGAGATGGCCAGTGTCTACGTGCTCTAACTCAATGCACAGAAACAATGAGAGGGGACCCCCCCAATGGCCCATATTGTTTTTCCCTGTAGTTCAACGGCAGCAAAGAGCCCATGTGCGTGCACCACAGGACACAGCTCACACCTACACACACAGGGAGAGGGGGTGTGTTGTACAGACAGACCGACAGACAGAAAGGATTTGCTGGCAGGATAAGTGCCATGACAGGTAAACCAAAATCCTAGCAGACGCACAAAGCCTGCCTCTCGCTTGCAGGCGGCACTGTGGAGCTGGACCAAGTACGTGTGCATCACAGGCGTTTACTTTACACAAGCCTCAGAAGGACAGTAAACGTCACCAGCACGCCAGCTCTCTGTGCGAATCTCATGCCTCGATTGTCGACACGAAAGAAATCCGTAAACTCTTTCACTCTACCGAATTGATTTATTTAAAATTCAGTTCCAAAGCCTCTCCCACTCGAGGGCGGTAGTCACCAGCACCGTGCACGTTTCCCTGACCCAGACCACATCCCAACCAAATACTGCGTCTGCTTTAGAAAAATGAACGGGCTACACAGCACCCTTCTTTTGTTTGCACATCAACTCCTATTCTGCCACTTTTCTTCACAAGAACCTCACCTTTGCATACTTTAATTGGCTTTGACTTCATAAACAGATCTGCGGTATCTTTTTATTTTTATTTTTTTTGTAATGTTTATTTTTGAGACAGAGACAGAGCATGAACAGGGGAGGGGCAGAGAGAGAGGGAGACACAGAATCCAAAGCAGGCTCCAGGCTCTGAGCTGTCGGCACAGAGCCTGACACAGGGCTCGAACTCACGGACCGCGAGATCATGACCTGAGCCGAAGTCAGACGCTTAACCAACTGAGCCACCCAGGTGCCCCTGCGGTATCTTTTTTATTACGGTAGCAAAGAAGCTTTGTCCTAATATGCTGATACTCAGCCAACTCTCCCGAATGTGTCACATATAGGACGGAATAGTCAAGTATTCCGTAAGTTATTCCCAGGAAGAACAATCCTGTCAGGAGGTTACTGTTCAAGGCACCCGGATGGCTAAGTCGGTTAAGCAACCAGCTCTTGACTTCGGCTCAGGTCATGCGTGATCTCACGGTTTATGGGTTCGAGCCCTGTGTCGGGACGTGCCCTGACGGTGCAGAGCCTGCTTGAGACTCTCTCTCCCTCTCTTCTCTCTCAAAAAGTAAAATCATAAACTTCGAAGGTATTCCCTACAAACATGGCCAATTTCCTTTCTGATGGGACGGGCTTTTTTCCGACGCTGCTGGGTACCTGACTGCACTGAAGTCTGTACCACACCTACAACTCCTGTAGCAACACGGAAGCAGTTTACACAGGCTAATTGAATCCTCATCTCCATTCACAGCATTATTCCCCTTTTACAGATGAGGACACTGAGGCACTGAGAAGGGAGTTAACTAGCTAGAGTCTCACCTCCCTGAAGCATCCCACCAAGCTGACACCTTCCAATTCCTACCTCAAGGCTCTCTCCACACACACTTCTAAAGCAGCCCAAAGGAGTGCGTAACTCCCATCTTATCCTAACATTCAAAAGCCTTCCATAGCTCCCTACTGCCCATCCCGGAGGCTTGTCCTCTGGCCCCCTCCTCACAGTGACGTCTGCAGGCTCCCAATTCCAGCTACGCCAGGCAGTGGCTATCC